TGGAGAACTGAGCAAGGTACCACTGGGGGAAGCCCCTTTCCTCAGGCCTCTTGCCTGGTGAGGCCCCTCCCTGCCTTAAAAAAATACTGTGGCAGCAACAGCAAGCCCTTAACCACCCTGCATGTCCCCAGAAGCAGTTGTCCAATTCACTCAACTCCAGTTTGCCCAACCCACTTTCACTCTTGGGGAAATAAGCCGGCCGTGGCCCACCTGCCTTCACCATTTCCGTGGGAGCCGTTTAGGGTGCCCCGAACTGCAGATCCCTGGAGCTTTGCCCTACAGTTTGACCCCAGCAGTGTCACTGAACCCTGTTTTTGGGTTCTGTTGGAGCAGGGAGTCCTGAAGACATCTGCCATTGTACTGATATGCAGGTAACATACAGGTGGAGGCAAGCAGGTGCTTCTACCAGGTAGCAGTTCTGCCTCCCTACCCCAGACTGCCCTCTTTGAGGAACTTTGCTGCTTGTCCAGTGTTTTTCTGCATGCAGCTGCTTGCATCTATTCTAGGATCACTGCCTCTTCTCTAACACGCATACTCATTTCCACCTGTTCCTTAAGGGTGGGAAAAAAATCATACATGCCTTGGGGGAGTTTTATGCAGCAGAATAAATGGTGGAGAAGGAAAGTAACAGGATGGAGAACTAGAGGCAGTTCATCCACCTGCCAGGAGTAGCTGCGGACCTGATGCTACAAGGATTTCCAGTAGAGGTGATGGATGGACATGCATCTGATATCCATCTGTGATGGGTAATGAATATTCTAACTAAGCTGGCATGACAACTAGAGGGGAAATCCAGGGTTTAACTGTCCTTGGTATACAGAGCACTGACAAATCTATCTTTCTCAATGCTATGCTTGGACTAGAGTTTGCAGTCAGTACATGAGAAATACTCATGACACGCCTTAGAGTCACAAAATCATCGGAAGGAAACTGGCTATGATTTTGTCCTGGTGATAGAAATAAAAGGCTCAAAAGCTATTGAGCTGGTGCAGTTGAGAATCACTACAGAGATGACAATGAGTAACTCATCTGGGTCATTGGACTCAAGTGACATAACAGTAGTGAATTTGACCACAGAGAATGTCATCCAAGGGAAGGACATCTTGCAAATTGTAGTCTGTGCATTATTTAGGATGGAGGAAATTGGGTACAAACCCAATTGCCAATTTGTGCACTCAAGTGTCAGTGATGTTTCTGCTGGTGATCAGAACATGAGGACCAGAAAGCACCTCCTGGGACAGCACAACAAAATAACTACAGGTGCGGCAGGGATGGAAAAATACTACCAGGAAGTGTTCGTTTCTGATATTCTGGACTATGATTCAGAGAAATACAACTGGTGCATTCTTGGTTTGTGGATGGAGTCTGTCCATGGCTTCTGAGAATATGAGATAGAGTGGGAATGTATCAGGGTTCAAAAGGCACCTGTTTGAGTTGGTGAGAACCTGCTCACAAAAGAACTCTCCTAAAGACATTCCCCAGTTTGTGTGTGTAAAATGGGCAAAGGGCCTCTGGAATTCTACACAACACAAAAACATTATCTTTAACTTAACAGGCTTGTGGCTGATACATATAACCAACTCTCATTGAAATATTCAGATGAGAATGGAATTTCCAGAAGGAGCTACACCTCTGAATCAATCGCTAGAAGATCTAGCAGCTGCATTAGGCAAAGGCTGATGCTTGTCAGAAATTGCATGATGGAGAACAAAATGTTACAGAGCTATTTTGAGAGTGGCGGAGAAAGCTTGCATTTGATTGGAAACTATAGAAAAGAATTGAACAGAAGTGTCAAGGTCTTCAATTAAGAAGCTCTTCTTAGACCTAGAAGACAAAGGAAGATAAACAGCCTGTAAGCCAAATATTTTAAAACCATGGAAGGGAAGGTGACAAACTCTTGGAAGATTGTAAAGATTTCCTTCCTTATAAGGAAAATAAAGGGTCTTATTCAAGGGGTGGAAATAGAGAATGCTTCCACGTTCCTGAACGGTACGTGTGGGAAGCACGTCCCAGAGAAAGGCAGTGTGAAATGGGACTATGATGAAACACACTGCCAGGAAGTGTTGAAGAAAATCAGTGGACAACTTAAAGAGAAGTCCTTTCAGAAACTTCCTAGTACCATTCACTTTGAAACAGATGTAGGGGTTACATCCTGAAATAGGCAGCTGATGCTTTTCAGAAAATGCACAGTGCATTCTTCGAGGCAAACAATCCTCATGAAGGTCTGGAAAAACAGAAACCTCTATATTTCTCCAAAGATCTTTACTGTGAGAAAGATGCTTGTCAGAAGAGACCCAAGGAGTTTTGTAATCTCTGCCTGAGGCCTTTGGTGACAGACTGCTGCAGCAAGAGAGTTGGAGTAGAAATAGTACATGACATTCTCCACAGCGGAGATGGCGTTTTCTTCAGTTCACAATGCAGAAGTCATTGCTAGAAAAAGGAAATTTTGATGACTCTGCGAACCATCCTCCATGGGTAACTACCACCCTGCCACACTTAAGGTGAAGTAGCTGGTGAGAAAGCAGCACTCTGTACTTGCTAATAGGCAGTGCTTTTTTGTCATAGAACACACTGGAATGGAGTTCCGGCACCTTTTTTCGACAGATTTTCCAAGTTTTAAAAGTAACTTTTGAAAATATGATGTTTGGTCCACGTGGATTCGAATCGCCCTGTCGAGCGTAGCAGGTTGGCAGCAAAATTATTAAAATGGCGCATGCGGGCTGCTTGTGTGTCGAGTCCGATGCATGCGCACTTCGTCTGCGCTGGTTGTGATGGCACTGCTCAGCTTGTGGCGCTGCTCGGCCTGTGACTGGTCGTGTGGTCACGTGCTGAGTGCTTACTGCGGGCGGTGACCGTTACGTTTCGTTACACAACTGAAGTGTGTGGGTGTGTGTACAGTGATTGACTACGTGTGAAAGGTAAATAAGTCCATGAGTTTCGGCACCTTTTCTCTTACAAAAAAAGCACTGCTAATAGGTTTCCACATTACTGCAGAAAATGTTCAAGGCCCAATTTAAATAGCTCTTATCCGGAAATGTTGTGGCAAAAGCCTCTTGTGCATACATGGATGGTCAGCATGAGTGAGTACAGAACAGCCAAAACCCAGTTATTCAACTCTATAAAATAAAGCTAACATAACATCAAAAAACAAAACCCTGCCTAATGCATGCCGGTTTTATAAATGCTTTTGTGCCATTGGCTAGAATCCTGGAAGACAGGGGCAGGTTAAGTTCAAGGGAAATTATAAAGTTAGGATTTTCCCCTGCTTTTCCCTATATCTTTGTGAAAAGAAAAGATTACATTGCTTCTGGGAAACAGCATCCTTTCTGTAATACCCCCTGCAAAACTGGATGTGACCGTCACCAGGTACACTGCGTCAGCCTGTCAACCTCCTAAGGTTAGAAACCATAAAACAAACAGGCTAATGCATTTCTCTGACGCTATTCCTGAATGTTTTGATAATACAGTAATGGAGAACAGCATTCCGATAAAGATTTCCAGTGGGGTAACCATGCTTGTCGCAGCAAAAATAACAAAGGATCTTATTTTATCTTCAAGACACAGATTTACTGTAGCGTAAATGCAAAATGCTATGCAAGTCTCTTGGAGTAGGAGAACACCACCACCTTCATTGTTAAGCTGAAGCACTTTGGGTGGTTTACAAAAATGGAAACGCTAAACTACAATGATAAAGTAAGTAAAACAGAACATTAGAACATTAAAATTTTAAACAAGAAAGAGTAAATGCCAGCAGCAATGTAAAGATGGAAAAACAAAATATTTTAAAATAAATAATATAAAATAATAAATAAGGAGCCAGTATAGTGGTTAAGAGTGTGGGACTGGGACTCCAGAGATTGGGGTTTGAGTCCCCACTCAGCTTTGGAGTTAACTGGGTAACTTTGGGCCAGTAACAGATGACCAGCCCAGCCTACCTTGAGACCATGTACATAAGTTTTCACCCCATTGTTCTGTTCTCTCTGGGGTAGGTAACTATAACCTGTACTTGTTCCTACATATATCTTGGGCCTGACTCCCCACTTCACACAGAAAGTGCTGTAGAAACTATCAATAATTATTAGTGCTTTCTTTTAAAAAGCAAATGCAGTAGCTAAATAAATGCCCCTGCCTATACCAGTGCTTATTCCTGATTCCTGCAGTGCGGAAGCTGGTTTTGGCTATAAGGTAGTGAGAAGCAGCTTTGCACAAATTCATGGACATCCATAGTTGATTTGCAACAAGCCTGTAGTCAAGTTGGTGTGGTGAAGGCACACCTGTAATTCTGCACTAACACACCTGTGTGTGTTACTGCAGAATTAAAATGGTGAGAACCCAAATACTGCTATTTTTAAAGTTGAACACTGCAATCGAATAAACTCTAGAAATAATACCCAGTGCCTGCTCTTCCAGTGCTTTTGCTGATAAGAAGAGAAGTAAAACAGGTTTCCTTCTTATAAACGGGACATGCAACAAAATGTTACAGCGTGGATCGCTCCTGTTCGGTGTGCCGGCCATGCCGATCCAGGATTCCCCATGCTGCCCCCATGCCCTGCTCCTGCATTCCGTGCCGCAGCTCAGGACGCTCAGCTCTCGCTGGGCTGCTTTGGGATCCACTCTTACGATTATCATCCTCGTGCTGGCCTAAGAGGACCCTCCAGCTTCGCCTGGGCTGGGTAGCGCTAGTTCGGCCACACAAGCAACGGCATCCGCGTGCACTCCCATAACCCCTTTCCCTTCTCTGCAATATGAAGGATTCCGGGAATCGCGCCGCAACACATGCACAGCGCGCCGCGCGCAGCAAGCACAGTCCAGCGGGAAGAGCCCTTGGCGCGCGTGCCGCCCGGCATGGACTACCACCCCCACCAGGCCCTGCTCTCCTTGCTCCGCCCTCTGCTCCCTGAGTGGCGGGTGTGCCTGATTGGCAGTTCCGGTGCGAGCAATCAGGGGCGGGCCCAGTGGCCCCGCCAGGCTGGAAGGGGCGGTGCCGCTGCCGCGCAAGGCGAGAGCGGAGCGGAGCGGAGCGGGCGCTGGCGGCGCGATGGCCGTGCCCGGCTGGGAGCGCGCGGCGCGGCTGCTGCTCTGCGCCGTGGGGCTGACGCTGTCTGTGTACGCCTTCCACGTGGAGACCTCGAAGGAGCGCGACGCCTCCTACCGGGCCATGTGCGATATCAGCGCGGCCATCAGCTGCTCCCGGGTGTTCACTTCCAGGTGGGTCCTGGGGAGCGCAGATCTGATGGCTGGCTGGCGTGCGAGGCTCCCTGTGTCTGCACCCCTGCGCGGTCTTCCCCACCTGGGGTCCTCTGGGTGGGTTGGGCTGCAGCCCCATCATTCCCAGCCAGCAATGGGAGGGCCTCAGACTGGGGAAGGCTGCGCTAGGATAATCCGGAAGACACTCTTGCAGCCTGAGAGGATACGTGTTTTCTTAGAGGAGGCCCTTCTGGGGTCTTCTTTCAAGTTGCGTGCTTGGAGGATGGCAATCTTGTCGCTTCCTCCTGTGCGGGTTTCCTCGAAGCTCCCTGGGCATCAGTGCTCTTTCTGCTCACTGCTGAAGAGCCACACTGCCTCTATCTCACCTGGGATTAGGGAGCAGAAATTATGCATTTTACAGTATAAGCTTTCACCCTCCTATCTCTGTCCTCCTACCACAGAGGTAAGACTGAGAACCACGTTGGACCTGTTGCCTCAGTCTCGGTGGTGCACCAGTCCCTCATCTGGTGGGAGTCACACAGCTGAATGCTCCTCCATTTAAGAACAAAAGCCAGACTAAAACTCAGAACTAGCATGTCAGGTTGAGGCTGGCCTAAAACTCTTCTGGGATTAGGCAGAGGGGCATGGAACGTACCCCCCTGTGAGTCCCACCTGAACTCTCAAGTCGTATGGCCCAAGACCTTGGCTTACCACCTCTACATATTTCTTGTGTTCCACCACTGGTGAAAAAGGCTCTCTTAGGTGAGTGGCAGGAGAGAATTAGGGGAAGAGTCATTGGTAAACGTATGCGGAGGAGGTTCCTGTAAATGTCTGTAAACAGCAGGCAAGGTCAGAGCCTGGGTGACTGACCACTTCGTATTTGGCCAGGAAAGCAGACAAATGCCAGAGGTGCATTGAATGGCCCTTCAGTGCCTTGCAAAAAATATGAAACTGGTAAGAGGACGGACTGTTTTGGCTTGCTCTCTGTGTGTCATGTTCTGCTCTAACCGAGCTGTACTCCGCATGCCTTATTTGCCACAGCAAACACCAACAAATGTGCTTCAGCAACTTGCAGTCTCTGAACTGCTCCTCTGTAATATCAGGGCAACCACGTATGTGAAGTGCTTTGAGCGTTTACCAAAAGTCTGGCCTAAAGACTTAAAACCGTTATTGCTCCCTTGACACTCATCCTCCTGCTCCCTCTTCCATCCTCTCTTCCTCCTTGCAGGTGGGGTCGTGGTTTTGGCTTGGTAGCAGGCCTCCTGGGACCGCACAGTGTGTTCAACCAACCAAATAGTGTCTTTGGGCTCGCTTTCTACACCCTGCAAATCCTTTTGGGTGAGTGATGCATTTTAGCCTCGGTCCTGTGTGCGTTGGAATACTTGGACGATTCCAAGTGGGGCTTGTGAGTCCATCGTGGCCCAGGGCAAGTGAGCGGTGCTGGGGCTTTAGTGCCATTTAGCTGGCATCATTTTGCCCTTCAGCAGGTGAACACAACGTAACTCGGCCCCCTCTTTCTCCCAGGCTTCTCCAAGAGTGGCCTAGCCGCTGTAACGCTCTTGGGTACTTCGGTCGTCTCCATTGCTGGTTCGCTCTACCTGGCCTACATCCTCTTCTTTGTGCTCCACGACTTCTGTGTGATTTGCATCAGCACCTACGTCCTCAACTTCAGCCTCTTCTTTCTCAACTACATGCGCCGCGGCTACCTCAACCAAGCCTGGCAGCAGCGCGCAACCAAGGCCAAGAGGCAGTGAATGCCACGGCACCCCGGTCTGGACAGTCCTGCAGGAGGGACACTTCACAGTGGCGTTGCTCTAAGGATTGCCTTTTTGCATAAGCCCAGGATGCTCCTCCTGCCCCGAAACCATTTGTACCCCTTCTCCCTCTTGCCTTGGATCTGCGAGACCCTTTTGCCGGGGGCAGCTGGCATCCTTCACATCAGTGGGGCTTCTTATGCATCGCTGCTTTTCTTTTCAGCCTTGTAGGAGCTGCCTGTGGTTGTGAGCCTCTTGACGGGGGGCAGGGGGGGTTCAGCACCATGGATAGCTGCTATAAAGCTGTAAAGAAAAACTGGAGCGGGTGAGGAGTGACCGGCCTCCCTGTGCTCTGCTCTGCATTCCCTGCGTCTGAACCTCCAGACTCCAGTCGAATGAGCAGCCTGGTCTCTATTTTGGAACCAAACTGGATGCTGCTGTTGATTGTGCCGGCAAAACGATTTGTAGAACAAGCTCTTCCCTTTTTGAAAAATAGATGAAGCTTATTTTTATAGCTTTTCATAAACTTTTTTTTAACACAGATCAGTTTGTGCCTGTACAGCTATTCCGGATGATATTTTAAGTGTGTGAAGGCATTAAATGGATGGCCTTTACAGCCATTTCAGTTGCAGCGATAGATAATGCTTTGGGCAGAGCCCAGTTGTGCTGGGAGAAGTGTCATTTTTGGATCACCCTGTCAAAGTCGATACATCGATGAATGGCTGCTTTCTATTCCAACACTAAAGTTACAGTCCTTTACACAACTACTTAGGAGCAAGCCCCACTTAATTAAATGGGATTGGCTTCTGGGAAGGCCTGCACAGGATAGAGTTGTATGAAAATGAATCTCGTTTCTCTTGGTCGAACGTTCATGCTGATCTTCAGAGCTGCTCATGGTTTACTTTTCCCGTCATTAATGATAGTTCTCTTGTGCATAACTCAGGGCTGGCCCCGTTCTTGGGCAAGCTGAGGCAACCTACATATGGAGGGGTGTAATTACAGAGATTGTGCATCATAAATTACTTGTATTAGGCATTGCAGAAATATTAAAATGAGACATTCCTAGCATCACATTGTTTAATTATATTTGGGGAAAAAGATTTAGGACTTTCTGGTTCAGGCATCAAAAGGCTCTCTGGCCCCAGTAGGCGGGAACCTAAGAAGTTGCCTTTTGCTGAGAGGGAGACCCTTGGCCTGTCTAGTCCGGTATTGTTGGCAGCAACTCCTCGGGGTTTCAGGAAGGATTTTTGGCAGCCCTACCTGGAGATATGGGACTCAGAACTGGGACTCTGCAGGTAAAGCAGGTGCCATGCAACTGGGTTACAGACTGCCCCTAAATGCAGCCTATCCTTTGTACATCTTTCTTATTTGTGTAAGAAGAAAGTGAACACCAGCCTCGTCCAGCCTGGTGCCGGGATGCTAGCAATTGTAGTCCAACTGAAGGTACCAGCTTGGGGAAGATTGGCATACGCCATGAAGGACATCAGCAATTGTGATTGCTTCTCCTTTCGAGTCCGATTTATGCTTCTGTTTCTGGGTATGTGCTCCCAGTTGAAAGCAGGGACACTTTGCACCCACCAATGTATTAAGTCCACAAATGAAAGAAAGAATGTTATATAATTTTATTTGATCTAGAAGAAAATAAAGGCACCAAAGGGAGAAAGCAGGGCTTGTTGCCCAGAGAAGTCATCTTTCATTGATCCTGTGAGTCCTAATGTATTAAATTGGACTATAGTTGCATATGAACAAAAGCAAAGCACAATAAAACACTTTTGTTTTTAAGTGTCTCTTCAGGTACCATCTTGGAAATTTTACTTTTGCATGAAAGGGAAAAGGGAATGTTGTCTTCTAAGGGTCTGCCTGTCACCCACTCTTAATCAGGTAGTTCTAGTCCCCACTCAGCCATGGAGTGACTTTGGGCCAGTCACAGACTTTCAGCCCAACCTACCTCACAGGGTTGTTGTTGCAGGAATAAGCAGGAGGAGGAGAATTGTGCAAGCTGCTTTAAGTTCATTGGGGGAAAGTGGAATATAAGTCAAATAAATAATGGATCCCCCCCCCAATCGTTTCTTGAAATATCAAGAACACATTAAAAACAAAAAATTCTTTGATTAAACTCATCCATCAGCACTTTGAGCAGAAAGGAAAAATCTCTGTGCCCAAAAAGTACTGAACCTTCAACAAAGACTACATGGAGGACAAACCGATCGGGATTCTTCACTTTAATTTTGGAGCTCCCTGCCTTGTTTTCAGCAGCAGAGTTTCCATTTTCAGCCTCTTAAGAAGAAATTTCTGAGAGTAGATATGGGATTTCAGGAACATTTGCCTGTAATATGGTCTTAAAACCATAGTTTGGCTTTCCTCCAAGGTGATGTGGGTGAGTCTGCCTCTTTTATTATCGCAACAGTCCTGTGAGTGAGGTGTGCCTGAGAGATGGAGATTGGCTCATGATGCTCAAGGCGCTTTACGGCTGAGTGAAGATTTTGAATCCAGACATGTTAACCGTTGCACTACATTAGAGCCAGTGTGGTGTAGTAGTTAAGGGCACGGGACTGGGACTCAGGTGATCTGGTTCTAGTCCCCGCTCAGCCATGGAGCCAACTGGGTGACTCTGGGCCAGTCACAGACTCTCAGCCCAACCTACCTCACAGGGCTGTTGTTGTGGGGCTAAGATGAAGGAGGAGATGTAAGCTGCCTTGAGCCCTTTGTAGAAAAAAGGCAGGATATAAACTGAAAAATGAATGAATGAATGAGCTCTTGCGTGTTTCTAGCTGCCCCAATCAAAGTAGTGGTCAGTATTTTCCTGAGTTCCCCTCATAATGGATGTTCTATAAAGGATGATTCACTGTAGATTTGCACAGAACCTGAAGACATCTACTGTCTTTGAAGTGGGAACATTGCATTCTAGTTTGTTACCTGCAAATCAGACTGGCTTTCAGCAACGCGCTTGAGTATGAGCCAATCAAAATTCAAGGAGCTGCCTGCAGGGAAAGTTCTCAAGTGCTTCAGGCTTTGAAAACTTGAGGTTTGCCTCTCAAGCAACACAAGGAATAGCACTGGAATGAACCTGCCCATCCAAGCATGGACTGACTTCACGCTACCAGCCGAAACCTTTTAAGGAAAAGGAATCTACCCGTGTTCAGCCTGAGCCGAACCAGTTGGAGATGGAATGATATGAGAGCAATGGTGGCAGGAGGGGAGGTCAGTGTGCAAGGAGGATGAGCAAGTCTTCCTGTAAGTTCATGTGTTCCTCACCGGCCATGTATCTGGGCTAGTCCATGCCAGCCTAGGAATCATGAGTGCCCTTTCTGCATGCTCAAGGCTCTGCTAAGCTTGCATAGTTTTCTCTTCCAATGCTACAATCAAAACACCTTCTCTCTCCCCACACTGCTTCCTGCTGGCTGCATCTCCTTTTTCCCAGCTCACTTGGCCTGTAAATTCTGCTGCTGAGCTTGCCTAACCCCTGATACCATGAGCCTCCTCGATACCGTTCTTTTTTGGCTGCTTCTTTACTGCATTCAGATGTGTCACTGCTGTCTCACCTTCTTATAATCCCTTGATGTGTTCTTAATGCATCTCTCTGTCTACTTGTGTGAATATTGCTGAACCAGCTATGCTTGGTATGACCCAATGAAACTGTTTATAAACGGAATACTCTAATGGTTAATGTTTGAATATGAGTGATTAGGTGATTATTAACAGAAATTGTTGCATCAGGCCGCATAGCAAATTGAGAGAAAAGCAGGCCTTCCTGAATTAAAGCCTGTGGTTGCAGTAAGAACTGGTGTCTGAGCTTATATTTTTTCCTCCTCCCTCCCCACCTGATTTTCCTTGTGTGTCTTCTAGCTTGTAAGCTTCACACCTATGCTATTGATACTTGTAAACTGCCCTGGGAGCTTGCTGAGATAAGGAGATGAAAGCAAATGCTTCCTCTCTGGGTTTTACTTCCCACTGGGCCATGAAGGTCTCTGGGTGCCTTTGGGACAGTCAGAAACTCAGCCCAACCTACCTCACAGGATTGTTGTGACAAAGTGGAGCTGTGTAAGCTGTCTTGGGTTCTAAATGCAATGTAACAGTAACAATGCAAAAATTGCAAAAATGTCCAAATCTTGAAACAACCCTTTCCTCGCGTGGAAATAAACGTCAGATCCCCAAAAGGAGCCGAAACGACGGCCTTTGTGACGTACAACGTCCTCCAGGAACTACATTTCCCATGCGCCCTCCGGCTTGCTTCGGTTGTTCCCGAGCTCGACTCATTAGTGGACTGCACTTCCCATGAAGCACCGAAGCAAACGCCCCGTCCCTCACGTTCACCATCATCCCCATCACCCAAAGCGTCCCGAAAGCTGATGCCGCCAAGCAATGGCTAGTCTTTCCGGCACCGCACGACTCTTCCTCCGGGCTCCGGCAGCCGTTTCTCATCGGCGCTCCCCCTTTGCTTCAGAACTCCATTTCCCATCAGCGCCTTCTCTGGGGTTGGTATTTCCGCCGGCGCCCTCCACGCTCGGGGAGAGCGCAGCTGCGGGACTACAGTTCCCAGAAGGCGCTGTTCTCGCTCCCCGCCTTGCAGGGCTGCCCGCCATCAGTTCTCCTTTCCCAGCGAGAGAGAAGCAGCTGGTTTGCTCCGGTCCCCAGGCGTGGACGCTGCTGCGGCGTTTGGACTTGGCGGTGAGGGGCCCCCGTCGGAGTAGCTGCTGGGGGCGGGGGGCGGATCATGCCTCCTGTAAGATGCCGGAGGGTGAGGAGAGGCGAGGCATCAGAATGGTTTCCCTGCCTTCTGCTCCCGGCACTGGGGAAGCCCGGTGGGTTGGAATGGAGAGGAGCCGGGACTCCTGGGTTCGCCGGGAGAGAGGACTGCGAGGAGGACTGAGGGGTACGAGAAGAGAGATGAAGATGCCACGTCTGGGACCTTTCCTCTTAGGAGAGGACCGTGTGCCGAATAGGGACTGAGGGTTGGACCAGGAGATGGCCTGAGCTAAAATGTATGGGCAAGGTCGTTGCCTCGTCAAAGGACTGGCAACCAGATTTGCTGGGCTCCAAGTGCACCGGATCCTTTCGTCTAGAGGAGAAAAGGTTGTGCGCCAAGGTGCCCTGGGTTGTTGTTGTTGTTTTTATCCCAGGCCCTCTCTTTCCTCTCCTGGCCCCTCTCTTCTGTTGTTACTTTTGCTTCCCTTTCCACTCTCCTGATTGTCTTGCTGTCATTGCCAGCTTTCAGAGTGTGAGCTCCTTGGGGCTGAACACTACTGCCCTCACTCCACTCCTTGGCTTGGGCTGCTCCGTAAGGGCCATTCACACTGAGGTTCTCAATAAGCAGGAGTTTCCTATTGACAGGAGTGAAGATGTGTGCTAGAACCAAGTTTAAAGAATTAACGCGATTGACTCCCAGCCAGCATCCAGTAGGTTAAAGCAAGGGGACTCCAGAAGGAAAGGGCAGCAGCTGGCAGAGTTCATCCCTGTCCTCATACAGCATGGCGATAGGCTTGGGCTGCTGTCCAAAACATCCTGTGCTTCTCCTTTCCCTTTAACCTGCTACGGCCTGGAAAATGTAAACATTTGGAATTGGCAAGGAAGGAGCAATTGTTCCAAAGCTCTTGGCACAAGGGAACAGTATCTGTCAATGTGTGCTCGAAAAAGGCCTGAAAATGGACTGCAGGGAAAAACAGAAAGTTGCTTGACTGCCCCCACCCCTCCACTCTCCCAAAGGCAGGGTTTTTCATCTTCTTTGGTTATGTTCCTTAAAGTTCTGGGATATGGTACAAAAATAATATGCAGAACATCATGCAGAAAAACAAGATATAAATCTAAAGTACATGTTCTACACTGTTTGGAAAGCCAAGGTATTCAGAATATATGTGAGGAGCCTGCAGACTGCAAACAGTGTTCAAAATAGATTAGCTGCCTTTCTTTTGTCTGACAAAAAGCAAGATATAAATAGTTTGAATAAATGATGTTAATAATAAGCCTAGTATGTTACTTTCAGGTTGCCTGTCTCAGTACACAAAATAACTGAAGGAACGTTGGATTAGCACAGTTTTTTCCAAGCTCTGCAGGGGACCACTGGGATTTTCTTACAAGAAGTGTTTCTAGATCAGATAATCAGTAATGATAGACTTTTTCCTCCTGCCCAGCACACTCAAGTAGCTTCCAAAATACAGAGTCCTGAGCAACTGCTTAGGTTTGTGCATCCTACACCCCCCACCCCCCTGAATTCAATGCCCATGTACTCTGCAGACGCACAGAGGCTTTTTGTCAGATGAGTCACTGTGGAAAATTTAGTGCACAGTGGACCTGGGACCAGATCCTCCCCCTTCTTGCAGAGATGGCATCTTGACCTCAATTTCCCCCAGTTGTAAAATGACAATAGAGGTGGTTGCAGCATTGTGGCAAAGATGAAAGAGGCAGTGGTTTTTAAATGTGCACAGTGACAGTGGTTGCTACTTAAATAATAACCACATGTAAATAGCATATTTTGATGAGCTACCAAAGAGTGACCCATTATAGTGAGGTCTGTTGCCTGAATGCTTCAAAATCTTCTGTGTGGAGTGGCAAGGAAGAAAGGGGAGTTCTTTTCATGCTCTGCTTGTGTGAGCCCCGGAAACATCTGGCAGGGAACTGAGGGAAACAGTAATCTGGACCAGGCAGGGCCTTTGTTTGATTCTGCGGGGGTCTTCTTATTTTCTTAAAGGAAATTCAGCTGTAAATATACTGCAGGAGATTTTTTGAACAATTTGGGGAAACAAGCCCATGTTCAGAGCTGGGCTGTTAGTTTTAATTTTGTCTCACATCTAAAGACTTAAAAGCCTCTTAAGTAAAGTGGCAATGCCATCTGTTATTTGGGAAGGCAGGACAAACTTTTTCAGCTAAGTCTGTGAGAAGAAACATTATTAATCAATTACATTTATATGCTACCAAACTGCCAAATGCCATCAGGGAGGATTATAATCATAAAAGTCCAAAGTAACAATAGCAACCAATGCAATAACACAAAACATTAACAGTACTAAAGAGCCAGTACTAAAGTTAATAATCAAAGGACTGGATTAAAGAGCAAATGCCTTACTGAAGAAAAGAAGACCTTAGCCTGACTTCTCAGTGGATGTAGTGAGGATACTAAGGAGAAAAAATTTCCTGGGAAAAATTCTGAAATCTTTGTTAGGTAAGACCTTTATTAGGATAGTATCTGTATTCTAAAAAAGGCTCTCCCTTAGAGGAAAGCAGAAAACCCTTGTCAGAGTAATAGCTTTCTTTGGCGGACTTTGAGTTTGCTAGAACTCTTGATCAGGAGTGATGGTAAACAATGGGTTGTGTGCGTGGAGGAAAAGTGGCTGATGTTGAAGAGATGTGATCCATATTTGGGCATTTCTCTTACTCTGAAGGCCAGCAGCCATGTGCCCCATGTGCTGACTGGAGCAGGAGAAGGGATCAGATGTGGTTCCCGGCAATGAGATGGGAGCAATTCTCTGATTTCACACCAGGGGGTCTGAGCAGTCTTATTGCTGCCTGGTGGCCATAGGGTAGCTCTGCCCACCCAGGAGGCAGTGCACCATCCGAAAATGAAGTCCTGGCTTCGGGTGGCATAAGATACTCTTCCTCCAGTGTAAGATCCACTGCTGAATTTGGCATTCTGCAAGTCACACTAAAAGAAAAGGTTGCCATGCTGTGACCATTAGAAAAAAAATCCCAGTTAGGCTATGTAGCCAGTTCAGAGTTCAGAAGAATAATGCGCAAGTGTATCTAATCTTGCCAAAATTCACTTTTGAAAGAGAACAGTTGAGGTGCAGCTTCCTCAGTTACAACTCAGTAGTGTTTTTCCCTGCACATTTTTGTGTTGATTGATGACAAGCCAATTTTTTTAAAAGTTAGGCCAAGTTTCTGGAGGTGAGCAGCCCCCTGGTCTTTTGGTCCAAAGCTGAACAGATGTTCTGCATTCTCCGTGCTGGTTCTGCAGGCACTGCTCCCTTCCCCTCCCTGCAGCTTCCAGCTGCTTGGGGTGAAATGAGGTGAAAAGCACCGGGAGGGGCGGGCTGCTCTGCACACACAGGGCTTGCCAAGAGCTCGGAGACTGCTGTCCGGAGCCAGGCAAATGGTGTCGTCACTGCTAGACAAACAGGGCTGTGGCGCTTAGTCCTCTGTGGCGGTGCCTGCGGTGCCTCTGGGGTGCTGCTTGGAAAGGAACTCCAGGCTGCCTGTGCAGAAGGTGGGTAACACTCTTCCCCTGCTCCGTGGGCCCTTCGGGCCCTTTCTTGCACAGATCGGAGGCCAGGATTCTGGTGCTCTGCTTCCTGGTCTCCCTGGGCCATGAGGCCTAACTCTGTCCCCCGGCTGGAAATAGACCCGAGGGTCCTCAGTCCGTGGTGGTTTGTCCCTTGAGGACGCAGGCCTTACTTGCTAAGCCTCTCTGCCCGCTCCAGTTTGGGAGGAGATAGGAGCCAATAGCCCAGGGGTCCTTGTGCCCCACACCTCCCAGCCCTTCCTAGGAGGGGTGGATGACCGAGGTGCCGTGACTCTTGCCACAACTCTTTGCTTGCACCCCTCTGGGCTCAGGGTGGCAGAACCTGTGGCCTTGCAGATGACACTGGACTCTCATCATTTGGAGTCCCCACAACATCTGGAGGGACTCTGATTCCCCAGTCCTGCTTGAGGTTATAGTTTCTCTGTCGAGATGATATACTTGTGTCTGGGCTGTACCAGACACAGAGTATGTGTGTGTAAGGAGTGTGTAAAGGGGGGGGGGGGGGGGGGGGGGGTTGCATGATTGAATGCTTCTTCCTACAGAGAAAACAATCCCCATCCAGAGAAGGATGTTGGAGAGGAGATGAGGCCTGAGAAACTCTGGGACACTGGATTCCCCGAGGCCTCTCATGGGGAACAGGTTTCTGCTGGATTGTTAATGCTGTAGACCTTCATCTTATACTTGACCTGTTTTGCATGTTAACAAGGATGCGGTCCTATGCATGTTGAGGCAGAAAACAGACCTGTGTGAAGGATTGTGTGCTAAGCCTTATATGGTAGAAACGCTGGAGATCTTCAGTCTGCGGTCTACTAGACTTAACAGCAGCACAGGAGAAATTGCACAGACAAGACTTGCTTAGCCTCTGGTAGGCGCTAACCGATTTCCTATTCTGCCAGGAGTTACTGGCAGAATGAAGCGCTTAATGGCTCACCCACCATTCCTAGGAAATATAAAATCCAGTAATTAATTGAATCTGTCTACAGCAGATCTGTCTGTTTGACCACTCTTCTGAGGCAGAGAATAGAAATAAAGCAAAATGTAACTCTCGGTGTCTTAGCAAAACCGGGAATTAATTTTAGATGGTTCACTCAGTAAAAAGTTTTTAAAAAGCCAATAGTGGTCAGAAGCTATATAAAGCATACCTCAATGGAAAATGTTCTTTTAAATTTATTCTATGAGCAGGATCCCTTCAAAATCCAAAAAATGAAGATTTCTTAAGGCTCCTTGTATAAATTAAAAAGGATTTCAAGACGTAAATGTAATTTCATACCTGTGAATATTAAATCTGTATGCATTAAGAAGTGTGAAAACTGCTGAGTTTGCAATCCTGTTTGACGTTATTGGTCCCAATTGGAGAGAGCACTCTGCATTTTGTCCCTGAGTTTACCAAGAAATAAAGGGCCAGGAAGAAAGAAAGCAAAAGCAATGTAGAAGAAAGGAAGGATGCATATTTTTCCAACATGAAAATGGTGTACAAGCAAGACGGTGCAATTTTGGTTCTGAGGAAAGACATTTGCTTGGGGTTTTGTTTCTCAGGAAAGTGGAACTGCAGAGTGGGAGCTTCTAAAAAGAACTTTAGGGGGCATTCTGTATAAGGGAACGTCAACAGTTACTTGTATTGATATTTTTACAGACCCTGTTTATGTCTCTTGGCTAATAATGTTTTAAGTTTTCATTCATTCCTGCACTTGGCATATGCACCATGTCAGTCAGTCTCAGCTCCAGACACCTCTCTGTAATCAATGCCATTATGATAACTGGCTTTTCCTTCCACTTCAGATGGAAACGGAGCTACCAGTCACTGCAGAGCAAGGAAGCTGGCTTAAGGTAACCAAGTTTACTTGAGGTGAGTTGGCTTCTGCAAGATTTCTTTCTAATTTCTGTTGGATTCAAATCACTTCTTGCTTTTCCTATTATCTCAAAGTCACTTTAAAGTTATGTTTATGCATTTGTCAAGCTCTGAGTTGGTAACACTAGCTATTAACCTGGGTTGTAGGACTTCATAGCCTTAAGAGAGTAAGTATTTAGTATATTTGTCATGCTAATCTATTCTGCAAATAAGCTAGGGTAGATTGGTGTGAACAGAATTACCCACAGCACATCCAACAGACAATCAGGCTTATCATGGATTGTTCTCCTTCCTCTTAGTCCTCCCGATGGATCTGGCAAAAGCCATCTTATTTCTCCCTTCCTGCTCTGATTAAGAAGCCTTTTTTGTTTGCTGTAGTTGCCAAGTTGTCAGTTGCAAAACACCAGTAAAGGAGAAAATCTTAGCAAAGGTATGTGCACCAAGAAGGGACAAGGGCAGGGGCAATAAGTTCTCTCTTAGCGGTGGAATTTGGTCAATTTTAAGTACTGAATTGATGGTTCTTTGTGCTTTCTACCTTTTCAACCCCTTTCCAAGCCTCTGGCTATCCCAGAAAGGAGAAATAATTCCTGCCTTTTTATGGCTCCTTTCTAGAGTTTGTTGTTCTCCTCTTTCTGGAGAAAGTGGAGACTTGAGGACATGCTGAAAAGCTGAGCTTTTTCATTCAAGAGAATTACATTGCTTGGGAGGATATGGTCATTGGATGCTCCTTCTTTTAATCCCCTCCCTCCTGCTGCTACCTGTGCTTTTCCACTGGCAAGGTGGAAATTGTTCCCTGCCAACCATGTGCAAATTGGCCAAAATGCAGTCCTGCTGTGTCGTTTTCCTTGTCTGTTACGTGCCTGCTCCAGGTGACAGCTAAAATACTTGAGGAAAGTGATCTGGCAAGACTACAAGCAGATTTTTAATTATTTTATTTATTTTATGCTTCCATTTATATGCCACCTACTACCAAAGTCTCAAGGCAGCTTAAAATAAAAGATAAAAATACATATAACAGAAAATAGAGAATAAAACTTCATTATCAAAATTTAAAACCTAACTAAAATGTGTGAATGCACATGTGAGATCACCAAAAAAAAAGGCAGGGGTAGTTGTTTTCTTTGCCACTCTTGGATGAAATTCTCAATGAAATTATTCTTCCTGGTTCAGTCAATGCAACAACCCATTCTAGTTCAAAATACACTTAGGACAGTGATGGCGAACCTTTTAGAGACCAAGTGCCCAAACTGCAACCCAAAACCCACTTATTTATCGCAAAGTGCCAACACTGCAATAAAACCTGAAAACTGAGGTTTTAGTTTAGAAAAAACAACTCACAACCAGTCCAAGCAAATATATACATATCCTTGGCAGCACACTGACCAACCATGCGAAAGCAGCTAATGAGTTGTGGCTCGTGATGCCATCGCCTGGCGCTGCTACTTCTTCTGAAGCATGCGCATGGCCCCTATGTGCGCTGTTACCCAATGCTCAGCTGCAGGGGCAATGCCGGGGCAACTTGGCTCGCGTGCCGAGAGAGAGGGCTCTGAGTGTCTACTGTGGCATGTGCGCCATGGGTTCACCACTACTGCCCTAACCCTACTCTGGTGCGCTCACCTGACACTAATATAGGAGTAAAATACCATTGGGAATAATGTGATTTTGAAAAAGCCTTCCTTGAGTAGCTTTTCCTGCACAGCTCAACATTTCTAGCCTGTCAAAACACATCCCAACCATCAAAACCATGCCAGGATACCTTGTTTTTCTAACCCTAACCCTACGCTGCTGCATACCCCTAACCCTTGTACAGGGCTAAAGTTCCATGGAAAAGTGGGCGATTTTGAAAAAGCCCTCCTTGAGTAGCTTTTTCTGCACAGCTCATCACTTCTGCCCGTTCTAAACACATTCCAACCATCAAAATCATGCCAGGACACCTCATTTTTCTAACCCTAACCCTACCCTGCTGCACACCCCTAACACTAGCACAGAGCTAAAGCTCCATTGAAAAGACGGCAATTTTGAAAAAGCCTTCCTTGATCATCTCATTATACGAATATGTTTTTCAAATTAATCTGGGGTTGCAAGAGCTTCGGGGATGCTGTGTGTCCCTCTGTCCTTTGCTGCTCCTTGAATCTCCTTGCCCTCTTTTTTCTTGCCTTATTTGGCAGGAAAGGTGTTACAGAAATCTTTTCAGTGAGCTGGAATTCCTTTTTACGGCTTTATTATGTGTATGTGCAAACGGGCCATCACAGTTATAATGGCACGGGTGCAGTGCTTTTCAGTGAAGTCGGTTCAAGGGCTAAGGACTGCAGCCCGGCGGGCAGTAATGAGGTCTCCTGTGAGCAGAGCCTGTATGAACGAGGCTGATGCCCTTTCCCCCTAGGGAATGCACGGAGGTCCTGCCAGAGAGGACAGGACAGTGCCCGGACCTGGGGAAGGCAGAGAAATCCCTGTAACTTGTCATCTTAGGAGTAAGTATTCGGCATTTCTGACTCTGAGGAAAGGCAGCATGGAGTTTCTGTAACACTGAAGGAAAAGAGCAATATTGGCACCGATGGTCCAAGCCTCGGTATCTTAGCGGAATCTGTTCTCAACCTCAGCTTGAATATAGAGATGGCAGCTTCCTGCTGTGATCATGTTTGCTCCCAAGTTATTATCCATCTGGTTTGCCCCAGAAGCTGCTCATAACTTAATGCCCTCAACTGGAAAGTCTCACCTTGTTTGGAGGTACAAGCTGCCATGTGCTCATGCAGCTCCTCTTCCCTTCAGTGGTGTCCTGGGGGCCCTCATTTATCGTGATTATTCATTTATAAAAGCCAGATCATCTATAACACTTCATCTTCCCTTCTGCCACACTTAATGATGCCTTAAATTTGCCATCTGTGACAGCCTCTTTATCGGATTTCATCTTAGGACTGCCCCTGTGGCCAGGCTGAATATTTCAGTTAGATAATAGCATGTTGATGTGTGCTTGAAAATTGCTATTTTGAGTCAGTTCAGTGTACCATCTGACTTGCAATTCTGTCTTCTGATTTTGGCCAGCCAGATAGCTTAAAGGAGCTTCATAGGTTGGGTGGATCTGCATTCAGATTTATTCATACACTCGCGCGCGCACGCACACACAGAGAGATTGAGAGAGAGAGCGCGATGTGATGCATTGCTTCTCTACCCACAGTACTGCTTTTCTAGCGCTGTCCTCCTATCTTGCCTCCAGGTGTCTGTGGAAGAGACAACGATGTGGAAAACACTACTGATGGTAGACCTCGTGGGAGCCGGGAGCCGGGCTCCCTGTGTGCTCCCCTTCCTTCTCCCTGCTCTCCGGTACCGGTCGTCCTCAGCAATTGATCAGCACCACGAACTGGCTCGTGAGCGCTCCAAGACCGTCACCTCCTTCTACAACCAGTCAGCCATTGACATAGCAGCTGAAAAGGTGAGCGCTGCCCGTGTCGGCCTCTTTCTCCACAGTGCGAGTCGAACTCCCATCGGCACCGGGGAGGGAGCCCTCCCTCACTGCTTCGGTCCCCGTTCTCCCAGCAGGTTCTGCCTTGCCCACCCCCACCTGTAGGCTGTGGGACAGGAGCAGGTCTGGGCTTTGCCGCAGCAGCAGGCGAGCTCCCAAGGAGTGGAAACATCCAGGGGCAGGATCGTGTGGAGGACCAGCCCGGGCAGGTGAATGGCGTCCCTTGATGCCGACTTCCAGCCTGGTTGCGAGACGGGCCTGCACGAGCCTGTGCCGGTGCCATTTTGGTGCACGTGGGAAGGGACATGGGGATTAGGAGGGGAAGCAGGCCTTTCTCCGTGCTTGGATTTCCCACAGAAATCACCCTGTTCCTACATTGTTTAGAACAGACTCATCCCTCGGCCCTTGGGTCCCCTTTTGTTAATCACCACCATTTAATGAGCTCCCCAAACAACTTGGCACTGGCTCTGGAGAGGCGGTCCACATCTTTGGCGGGGGTGGTGGTGGGGAACAGAAGCCTAATCTTGCTCTGCCGTCTGGAGTCTGCCCTGGGGGAAACACTGATTAATGAAATACCCATCTGTCGCTGTGCAAAGCCCTAATGAAGGAGGCTCCCGTTTTTCCTCAGCACAAACATGTAACCCACTCAGCTCTTGACAGAAGCCTTTTGGTGAATGTAACATGACATCATTTGCATGGATTCGCTTTGTTCTGGCAGGTGTGGGGTGGAATAAACATGGCCCCTGTTGCAGAAGAATCGCTTGCCAATGCGATTGCCACCTCCTGTCCATCAGCAGGGTCCCTGTGAATCCCTGTCTGGTAGAAATGTAACAGGTGCAGCTTTTTCCATCACAACATCTCTGTGCTATGGAAAAACAGCAGCCGTTACATTCCCTCCATCATGCAGCTCTTACAGGCAGACGTCCCATGCCAGAAACAGCAACAGCAAACTTACTTTACCTAATAGCACGTGGCTTAGCTTAACAAGAGAGCATCTTCCAGATATTGATCTAGTTTGCACTTTCATTTTACTCTTGGCAGTCGCTGAATGGGGTGGGGAAACTGTAGAGAGCTGAGGACCTGTATGCTGGACATCTCACTTGGCTGCTCTCCTGCGTCCCACATGTCTTCTGAGATCTTAGGAGATGCCTTAGAGCAGCCTTTAGGGACGGGCTGGGGGTTGGCTGGGAACTGCAGAAGACTGGAAAGGTGACCCGTGCGGCCAGGTTGGTTGGCTGTTTTCAGCACGACACAGGTTTGGCCTCATGACCTCCCTTCACAGGAAGGTGGCATCCTTAGGAGTGCAGAGCTTTGAGGAAAACCTGTCCTTCACCACCACCAGCAAAACAGAAGGCTCTCAAGTAGACTCTGCTCTTCACCAAGGCAATTGTTTGGCCATTGTGGGAAGGCAATCGAGTAATTGAAGAATAGCTTTTTGTGGTGTGGAATGTTCCATGCCAACGCTGTTCTCCAGGCTGTCCATGTGTGGGTGTTCTGTACACTTGACAAGTGGTCCTTCCTGCTTCTCTTTCCAGCCCTCTGTGAGGTTGACACCCACCACCATGTTGTATTCCGGACGTTCTCAGGATGGGAGCCACCTGCTGGTAGGTATGAGACTTAACAGCTGCCCCCAGATCATGGCTAACTGTGAAGCCTTCTTTCCTTGCCCTGTTCTTAAGGATGCAGAACAGGGGCAGGCAACTTGTGGAAGATCTACAGCTCTTATGGTCCCTAACAGTTGGCTTTGCTGGCTAGGGCTGGTGGGAGTGGTAGGCCAGGGATCTCGAAGGCTCACCCCTTGATTTATACCGTACTTTTGCTCCAGTTACTTTGGGGTTCTCTTCTCAGTTCTCAGATGGTCTGGCTTCTGGGCTGGCCTTCTGCGCACAAAGGTTTATTCTGAGAGAGAGAAGCAATATTCAGACATGGAATTCCCCACCTGTAATCTGAATAGATACAGATTAGAAAAGGCACAGCAAATGTTTCTGCCACATGTGTGGAATGTAAATATGTGACATATTTCAGTGAGGTGAGGCCCTCTTGAGAGATGGTAGCACATCAGAATGCACATGGCAGAACTGTTCATGACTTCACAGGCCTCTTCGTGTGGCAGGCTTAATGCATGGTTCTATTTAGTGTGCTCGTTTGCTTTGTTGTTGTTTTTAGCCATCTTTCAAGAAGTTGTAGGCATTCTGCCTAGTGTTCTACCCCCTCCTTTATCCTCACAGAAATCTTTTAGGTTAGCTTGAGCCGAGAGAGAGTAACAGGAATTCATGGACATGGAGATTTTAACCCACCCTTTCCTGGTTCTAATTCAACATGCAGACCACAGCCCTGCACTGGCTTCAGTAGTCTCCCTTTCAGTTCAGAAAAACTGGCCACTTGTGGGTCATCTGCAAGCAGCATTGGCTGCCTGGGGAACAGTGTTCTCTGAGCCCTCTCTGGTGTTGCACTTGCTGAAGAGCAAACCGCGAAGTCCCCCAGTTCAGCCCTGATCTCACTGGGTGGCCGTCCGCACTCCACTCTCTCTCGTCCTGGGCTCTCCTCCCCAGTCTGCAAGTGCCGGTGATCCCGCTGCAGCTTCCGCATTGTGGGATTGGGCTTCCGTATGAGGATTTCGGCTCTGGGCACTAAATTTGTACAGTGTTACACTGAGTAATGGAATCTGCTACTACCCTCTTTCTCAGTGAGGGGAGAATCAAGACAGGTAAAAAATACCATGCGCAAGCTCAGCGAGGAAGCTCTTGCTGCAATGCTATCTTGGCTCTTCCCCAAGAATCAAGACTGTCCCCGGATTTCATTTTGCTTCCTCTGGGGAGCCCATGGATATGTGGGGAGCGCTCCCAGGCCACTGGCCCAACCCAGAGGGGCTTCGTTTTGGCAACAGTGCTGCACCCGGTGCCTTTTAGGCCATTCCTTTCTGTGCAGCCCCTTGCTAAACGGCACGATCACGCCGCCACACAGTGTCACCCTGCAGATACCGGTTGTCCCGCAGAGCTTAGACCGGCGGATAAATGGATGCCGCTCTAGAGCAGCACTGAACATGGTGGGAAGCGAGGGGAGTTCTCAAGGAGGTCAGGAGCTGGTTTGGTCTTGGGCTGCTGGAATTAGGACTCCTTCCTGAGCCCGCCTGCAGTGATCATGCAAAACCCCCAGCCCTGCTTGCCACTTGCCTGGCAAGATCCCATTTCTCTCCAAAACCTGGAGACAGAACTGAGCAGCGCTGTCAGACTGCATCTTGATGGAAGCTGCTGTTCCCCATATGCCCTTCAAAACCAGGGAGAAAAACCAGCCCTTCTCTCCCCTCCCCTCCCCTCCCCTCCCCTCCGTTTCTAAACCTGCAAGGTTGTATAATCAACTGGCCTCCATTTGTGCTTTGTTACAGAAAAGCGCCCGTTACCTGCACCACGAGCTGCCTGTCCGCATCGCTCACCGCATCAAGGGATTTCGGAGCCTCCCCTTCATTATCGGCTGCAACCCCACCATCCTGCATGTGGTACGTGTGGCAAGGGCTGGTGAGAAACGTGTAAAGAGATAGGCAATGGTACTGAAACTAGAGCAAACTATACAGTAAGGAGGCAGCGTCGTTCCATTTATTTTTTTATTTGCCAGATGCATGCACTGCTCCATATTCTAGCAAACAATAAAAGAATAACAAATACTGAAAGCCAAGATCGTTAAAACTTAAGGTATTGATAAAACTGTAGCTGGTTTTGTATTTACTGCCTTTTATTTCACTTTGTGTTAGTCAGCCTTTCAGCCGAATGATCACTAGGGTGACTTACGGACACACGGCAATAATATGCCACAAAATCACAGGCTGGCCTTCTCCATGCTGTGATGTTCTTCCTTGAAGAGGAAAAGGCGTGTGGTAGAAATGATAGAAGTAAACGATTGTACTAGATGATGACAATGTTCCTTACAGGGGAGCTAACTGGGTTCTGCTCCCCTCCCTGAATGGAAATTAGAATCCCCGAGTCTTTTGTATTTCCACTTCCCTGTAATGTGATGTATCCCACAACGTAGTAGGTAAGCGAATGAAATGCTAAACCTTTCTGGCTCAAAACTCGATTTAGCAATGGCTGATTCACCTCGACTGAGTGCTCTTTCGGCTGCTTGCTGTATGATGGTGACAATTAGTGCTTGCTTAAGGCCTTGTAAGGGAGGCCAGCAAGAGTGAGTAACTGTGATTATTGACACAC